TGTTGAGACTAACTATGAGATTAGCAGAAGCTAGATTAGCAGCAGTCCTCTTCTCCTCATTAGGATCCATCTCATATTCTTCTTGAGCTTTACAGGCTGTAATTTCATTATCTTTCACCTCTTGGAATATATTGCCAAAGTGCAGTTTGTTCCAGGTTGAGAGAATTGATTTGAGACCCTTTAGCTTCATAGCTAGACCTGCCATACCTCCAGTCCTAGGGCTATTAATCCAGTAATCATTAACTATAGTTAAAAAATTGTGATGTGTAGCCTAGACATTAAGAAACCTGAAAGGTTTAGGTCCTTGAAATCCCTCTTCCTTACAAATGAGAAGCATTGGTGTATATATATATATATATATATATATATATAATTTTAATATCATAGGCTGCAAAGAAAGGAGCGCCTATCTCGGTGGAAGAAGTCATCGTCCATACAAAGACAAAGAAGCATGATGGGCAGACATGGGTTGATCCGACCGATGCTGATCTTTGGGTAAGTGTGACTTTAATGCTTCATGTTTTTTTTTGGTGACGAAAATATTAAAGTTCTTGAAGTTTATAATAGGTGCTGTTATTGATGATGATTTAGTTCGTAACTTATTGGAGATGGAAATGTTGTTATTATTGATTTAGTAGCTTATTGTTCATGATGTTGTTAGTAGCTTGTTGGAGATGTTAGTACTGATGATTTTAGTCTCATTAATCTATGATATTTTTGTTTTTATTGTTCTTATTCATGTTCTTGTTATTGTTCTTGGGTAAAGTTGTTGAGGAGTAAGTTGTTATTATTATTCTTGGTGTTTGTGTTGTAGTGGAATTATTGTTTTCGTTCATATTGTTGTTGTAGGCTCGATTTAATACTCTTCGTGATGAGGCTATAAAGAATGGACTTGATGTCACCGATGATGAAATTTGGTACTCACTAGTCTAGGGCCACAATATGAAGAATCGTGTGCCAGGAGTTGGTGATTACGAACGTAGGATGAGAAAGTTGAAGTCATCCACCCGTCGCCGTTCTAGCTCTTCTACGACCAAGAAAAGTGAAATGGATATCACGAAAGAACAGGACAGACGCCTCCAAGAACAGTTTGAAGTCCTAGCCTCGAAGTTCACAACAATTCAAGAAGATCTAAAAAAGTTGCATGGTAATAACAATCCTCCTCGAAACGATGACGGAGCGAGGGGTCAGGGAAACCAGAGGCTATTTGTTAAAATGTTTGAATGCCAAAACTTTGACTTTGATGGATTTTATGCATGAATAACATTAACTTGAACATTTGTATTTGTTCTACTTTACGATGTGGATTTCGTTTGACACTTATATTTAAAATTTGATTGTGGTTTTATTGAGGATATATGTTCTTTCTTGTTCTACCCTGTGTGAACTCCCTTCCCTGTTAATGGATCCCCCATTTGGTATTTAACCATATTTGTATATTTAAGAGCTGATGTCCAGGGAAGAAACCAGATACTACCTGTCAAAAATCCAGAAAACAGAGACGGATCTGCGACGGGCAACATTTCCGTCGCAGATAAAAGATTAAGTCCTGCCAACTTCATTATGATGCAATTACCGTCGCAGGTCTGCGACGGCAAATGCGTTCGTCGCAGAAACGTCGCAGTTTGTTCGCAATTCTTGCCTATCATTTCCGTCGCAGTGTTCGTCGCTAATTTTGCGACGACATTGATTTTCCGTCGCAGATTTCGGTCCGGCGACGAGAAATCTGCGACGGACAAATTTGGTCGCAACAACGTCGCTAATATGAATTCTGCTACGGATTTCACAGATCTGCGACGGATTTTTCTTGTTGCAAAAATTGCAGATTCTTATAGTGGTGACATGTCTCCCTGCCCGGACCATAGCTTCTTCAATGGTATTCGGGGGATGGGTCGTTAGATGCGTGTGGAGAAGCCCTTCCTGAAGAGTAGTAGTAAACATCGCCAGGCGAGCCTTATCATTAGCACCTTCTACTTCCCTGGACTCATTCCTCTAGAGCGTCAGGAAATTCCTCAAGGATCCTCTATTCTTCTGGTGTATCGAAACTAAGTTTGTGAAATGCTTCTCTAGGTGGAAATTCCTAGCAAAATAGGAAATTCCTAGCAAAATACTCCAAGAGGCGCACACCCAACTAGTCTAAGTCCAAATCAACCCGGAAGGAATATAGTTGACCTAGTGTGCCACCTTACAATCGATGGTTTGGAAAAGGCAGCAACACATCAAAGCATCTGTCGCATCCATGGCTATCATCATTTGCACGTAACTATTTATATGATCATGCGGATCCGATTCTCCATCATATCATTTGACGAATGGGACCTTAAATCCCACTGACTGCAAATATTTCTAGGGCCAATGGGGTATTTGTCCGGGTGGTAAAGACCCGATCGTGGTTGAACCTCTGATGCATCTCTTTGATTTGGCCATACTCCCGACTCACAATCTCTCAATCTTAAAGCTCTCAATGAAAGCACCAATAATGGGATTTAAGCCCTACAACTATGGCAATGAAGAACAGATTTAGGAAAATGAATTTCGATAATGAATCTTGATGTATTTCTATTAGTTTGTATATGCTTGTCTTTACTTGGTTTACAATGGAGGGTTCTCCCTCTATTTATACTACATTAGAATTACATACATGATGGGCACTCATCGTGCGCATAAATCTCAACCATTATCTCTTGTACGTCAATCGTGGAGGTTAACCGCTTAACGCCTGATCTTCCCACGACTTAGTGTTGTATTATTCACCTGGACCTATCAACAGGAAGTGAACCTTCAATATCCCATTTACCATCCCCCATTCCATACAGGCCCAAGCCACTATCTTGTGGATTGGGCCATTCATATTTGTTTAATGGGTCTAGATATCCATCAGTCAGTATAAAATGTAGGTGCCTTGTATAAGAAAATTTTATAGTGTTTATTAATTATTACATATTAATTATTAATTATTATGGTACCGTGTAATAATAATAATAGTAAATAATATACATAATAATAATAATAATAATAATAATAATAGAAAAGGTAACATGCGAAACTTCATTAATAATATGGTAATAATATGGTACCGTGTAATAATAATAATAAACATAATAATTATTATGGGTACCGTGTATAATAAAAAAGGTAACATCTGAAACTTTAATTAATATTTATTAATAAGGTAATTTCATACCTTAATATTTGAAATGGTAAGTGTAAAATGTAAATACCGTGTATAAGGTATTTTCATTATTATTTACCCCTCACTTTTCTTTTATAACCTACGAAATAATAATAATAATAGTAATAATAAGAATAATAATATTAATAATAATAATAATAATAATAATAATAATAATCAATACTTAATTTAAAAGCAAGCAAAATATTGAACGTTTTTCCCACCCATTGACTTTGCACGGAAATGATAAATGTACATCACAAATGATAAGCTTGAATTGTCTATAAATTGAGTTTCCTTATATGAATTATTGACCGTGGATTCTCATCCATGACTTGATAATATAATTGGACTTTATATATGAATTAATAGTAACATAACTACTCATAAATTATACTCCATAAGATCTATATTGTTGGAACACACTTTTTATTACGCTAAACTAAAGTCATGTTCATCTCTGACAGGTTTGATAATTACCAAACCGCCGTGGATATGAAGAGTTTTCATTGAACAACTCAAGGCGTGTAGAATAGCACGGAACAAGACCAAAAGACTCAAGGACAAGATCAAGAATTGAAGACTTAGTCGAGTCGGTCTTATTGTGATCAAAACCGACAGTCAATTCAAGTCTCGGTTATCAAAGAGTCAAAATAATTTTTACAAAATCATAAAACGTTTTAATGCATCAAAACAAACGTTTTTAATAAAGTTTTTTATGTATTAAAATCCCTGGTCCTTGGCTAGACCAAAACCACTTCGTCCGGCATTCGGCATTCAGCGTTCGGTTTTCGGCGTTCGAACCAACTCGGTGATTTTCAATATTTTAAACCTCATTTTTACCTCTGGGCATTTTTTAAAGGTTCCCAAATAATTATTTTATAAAAACCACTTTTGTATCTTGGTCAATCAGTCTAACACGTGAAAAACGGTCAAAACCGTACACACGTGACAAACGACCTCGAAGACTTGGTTTTTAACAAACAAGTCTTGGTTTCACTATTTTAAACCATATACAATGTTTTTCAAACTTGGTTTTTACTTTTGGGAACACTTCGTTTTTGGACCTCGGTTTTTCAAATTGGTTTTTCGGCGGTTGGGTCTTAGATGAGTGATAATCGATTCTCACCTTAGTGACAATCGACTATCAGCCCTTGTAGCTTTGGACTCCAAGTTCCGAAGCATGCAATAATCGATTGTCACATTTTTGAACAATCGATTATCAAGGTCTGCAGCTAAAACCTAGAAACTTCTGAGAGGCCTGATAGTCGACTGACACATGTTGACAATCGACTATCTGTGTTACCGTTGTCCTCCAACGGATAGAATTTTAAATTTTTTGACAAAGAATCTTTTGACAATCGATTAACTTGCTTTGACAATCGATTATCACTCTGCAAATCTGAAAATTTTGTCATGATCCTGTTGGAAATTTTGCAACGAGTTTATCCCATTTTAGGCTATAAAATGGCACCCAAATCCTCTCATTTTACACACAATTCTTCAACATTTCAATACTCTTTCATTGCATAAGCATTCCTATTTTTCTTAGCTATTTGAGAGCTAATTCTTGAAGAAATTGTCGTGTTCTTGAGTGTTTACTAGTTCACTCACTTTGTTTTAAACACTATTCACCTCCCTCTAGCGTTGGGCATATATTCTAACAATTGGTATCGGAGCCATACTCTCTAAAAGACTTAACCGTTTGAGAGAAACGATCAATGGCTTCTACTCAAAACTTATACGCAGGTTTAGGTGAAGGACAATCCACCACGAGGCCTTCGTTATTTGACGGAACGAATTACACGTATTGGAA